TATTGACCCTTTGCAAACAGTATTTCATACCCCATATTATCCAAGCTTGAAATACTGAGTAAATTATGGTCTATCTCTGGCACATATAATACATTATTCAATGTTTCTCCAATACCAGGTATATAAACTTTACCTTCCCCTTTTTACAACAGACTGTTGTCAATTAGCCAAGCTAACAAATGTTTGTTTAGCTGGCCTTAGGTTTGAAAACATTTATGGGTCATTTGCATTATGCTGACTTACCCCACTGTCCAACAGCCAAGTGTTTTTTTCATTTAATGTTGGTTGTGTAACTTTATGACCTTGTTTTGATGCTCCTCTGTTCCTCCTCTCAGGGCAGCGTATCTGGAGATGCTCTGTAGAACCACACATGAAGCAGTGTTTCACCATGCAAATGTTCTCAGCTGCTCTAGTGGCATCTTTGGATGTTGCAGTTTTAGGCTTGGTCTGTATATTGTCACCCCCTATCTGCTGCCTTTCCAGCAGTTTCTGTTCCTCCTCCAACATCTGGCCATTCAAATAACTCATGATTAGGTCCCTCTCTTGCAGGGACTCTAAGTTGGTCACTAGGACATCCCATGAAGTGTACAATGAACTGAGCACCACATATACCTTGTGTGCCTCAGTAAAAGTCATTTCTCTTTCTTCTAACTCTAGGAATGTCTTTCTCATGAACTGCAAATGAGTAGATATGGTCTCTCCCAGTTTCAGCTGGGCCTTATATAGCTTTCTTGTCAGCATTACTTTGCTGCTTGCAGTCTCTCTCATGTACACAGTGCGCAAAGCTTCCCAGCACTCTTTAGCAGACTGGAGACCCCTCACGTGTATCAGCTAGCTATCCTCCAAACTCAGGATTATGCTGACCAATGCTTTCTCATTTTTTCTCCAGTCCCCATCATCTAGGGCTGCAGGTGGATTAGCAACTAACATCCACAATTCCTCCCGTCGCAGGTACATCTCCATTTTCAGACACCAGGAGAGGTAGTTTGTCTCATTCAGAAGAGATATTACAAAACCTCCTCACATTATGCTGATGGATTCCATGTTGCCTGCTATACCACAAACCACAACAAACCACAAGCCCTAACTCCTCTCGCTCTGGGTCAAGCTCTCACTGGGTTTCTCCTCTCTCTGGGCCCCTAACCTGTCAGAGCATGCACAGTCTTATTGCATGAGATAACCCAGAAGTAAACACAGTAAACAGTGGTCTATAGTAAATTGTGGTTTATCTTACACTATCTACAATATCATACACCAGGAACAATATACATACACATGCTAATACAGTAGGATCCAACAAACCACAGTTACAGCAGGAAACGGAATAAGAAAGAACACATCAGCAGATCCTTCCCTCTATACAAGACACTTGTAAGAGACACTTACCCTGCTGAGTCATTCCCATTATTACATCTTATATCTTACATTACATAAGCTAGTTAGCTGTTAAATCAATACTTTGACATTATATACCAACACCCTTGGTATCATCCATTGTTTAGCCTTCTTTCTCCAAATTGATTCACAGTTGTACCATTTTTGAAGAAAGAGCTCATGATGGCCTAGGCCTGGCCAGATGCAGCCCTGACAAGCCTTCAGTGGTGGTATTAGACTCCATCCAAAAAGTTGTATTGGTATTGAATATGATAAATGAGGAAATAATTAAATACTTGTAGAGTAATATTAATTATTAATTTAATATAGATTAAACCAAACTTGGATGGGGGGATTATGTATTCAATTTCTAAATGTAATGTAATAAATGTCCTCCCTGACTTTTTGGAATGCAAGCCTCCTTCACAGCTTTCCCTCTTTCTTAAAAGTTATGTTTAGCCTTGATCCCAAAGTTATACATCCAGGTTTAATTTAAAAAAAACACATCATGAACACTCTTCTGTAAACAATAACAACAACCATCTAATTTTGGCCACTCCTCTATTTGTAGGCCTGTGATTCAGAAGAGGGCTAAGAGGATAGCTTAGTAACGTAAGAAATAAACTTCATTTCAGTCTGAAGCACTCATTTTTTTAACAGTACAGAAAACTCTATCCATTCTCTCGATATAATTTATAATCCTCTCAGTCCACATTTTTGTAATCTTAAAAACTCCAAATACATCAGTTTTCTCTGATAGGGAAGACACTCCATAGCCCTGTTCAAATTGGCAACTTTTATTTGTTATGATATTCATTTGAAGGTGAAGCAGCCTGAAATTTACACTGGATTCCCCAAAACAACATTATTTTTATAGAAAGAGATTATGAGACTGGCTATTTTATTTTTGGCTCCCTTCTTAATAATTTCCAACATTGTTCATGTTTTTTATGTTTTCTCTGTGGGGAATCTACATTTTCTGCATCAATATCTTTTTTTCCCTGTAAATCATATCCAATTCACACCTGACCAGGATAAAAATGGTTATGCTAACCATGATTCTTTAAACAATAAGATGTTTCAGGGATATAGTGGTTATTTTGATCTGTTTACTGTGGAAAATTATCATAAGAGGTTTCTTGTATTTTTAAATATATCATTTTTTGCAAACATGATATATAGTATATAAATCATATATAGTATAGCCTGATAAAGCACCTTTCCCCACTAGCATCTAACCATGGCACAAGCATGTCCTGCAGCTAATTTAATTTATTATTTAATTAATCTTCAAAGCAGGTCTAGTACCCATTTTTTACCTGTTTGACCCAAAGCTGAAATAGCAAATTAATGGAATGAGAGGTGTACATTCTCACCATGGAGGAGTAAAAGTAAAAGTAATGCACAAGAAAATGTGTAGCAGCAAACTCAGAATGCTATCATTCCACATGTACTGTAGATTCACATTGCTCGGTTAAGTTATATGAAGTTAAGATTTGAAGGACTGCAAAGTTGAACTTAAGGGGTCTATCATTAATCTGAAATAAATCTGAAAATAAGTCTAGCATCAATTCTAGAGAAAGGGAAGTTTTTTTAAAGACAAAAGCAGGCTTCATTTTCATGACCACAGGTTGTATTTAACAGGGCCACTATGTCATACATATAGAAGTACCATGGGCTTTTCTGAGATTGGGGAGAAGGGAGTTTTTCCTTTCTTTTTCTTTTTCTAATTTTAATTAAGCTTATTTTGGATTTTGTACTATAGTTTCTGAATTTCCCTAAAATGTCAGAAAACTTCAATGCTGATTTTAAGCTGCTAGAAATAGCATCCTGGGCTACCCTAAAAAATATTGGGTGGCCATATCTACATTTGGAGCCCAATATGTTCTAATAATCACTGTGTTGTATAGAACTTAAACACATGCATTCCTTTCTGCACACAGGACAGGAATCAAGATTGCTTGTCTTCTGCCCTTCCAGCAACCTGGAACAGAAACAACCCCAGAATTCAACTGTTGCATTAGAACTGATGAAACCTCATGGGGAAGATAGAAATCACATATCAAAACTCCTCTTCTATCCAATTGATTGCTACATTAATTTTCAACACACCAGCTCATGTTCTTGCTTCCCCTTCTCTTTCACTCTTACACACAGTGCAACCAAGATTTGACGCACAGACCTCTCTCTACCTGTCTCATCATGTAATCTACAGTAACTGCTTCCCCCCATCCCAACAGATAAGAGGCCCCAGACATAGCTGGAGGAAGAACAGAATGCATGTTTCAAATACCCAGGATGTCAGGCAGCACAAAGGCACCTCTTTCATTGATTTTATATACTTCCACTTTCCTGAACAGTGACACTGCTGTCTCATATTTGACAGCCAACCTGACAGTTTTGAGTTGAAGCAATAACACACTGGTATTAATTGGACACTGAGGCCATAGTGTTTGTGGAATGTCTAGTGGGACCATCTAAACCAGACATGTCAAACTCGTGACATCACATGATGTCATGTGACATATTGGAACTTTTTCCCCATTGCCGGCAATGGAGTGGGCGCAGTTTCCTCGTGACGCGTCCAGCCTGTGGGCCGACAGTTTGATGCTCCTGATCTAAGTCTTCAACTTGTGACACCTGAGAACAAGTTCAGCTGATTGAATAATAGTTTGCCACAGATTTGGCACATATTTATAGATTACAGTTTTATATGATGATTTGTACCATATCCTAAAGGTGGTGTTCTCTTTATATAAAGTATTTCAGTGTTACAGGGATTCTTAAATTAGGCTAGATTTCTAGTAGTATGGAGAGAATGGATCATAATTTCCAATTTCACCTTATCAACCTGTGTTGAGTACTTTTCCTGATCTATATAATCTGTTAGGATAGGATCAAGATAAATATGTTTGGGATAAAAAGAAGCTTGGAATGAGTGTAGATTTGCAACAATAGTAACTACAGTTTGACAATATTCTGGACTTTAATGAATTGTCTTCTAGCTAACATTTAGCATGAGTTTTTAAAGGCTTGAGTCAATTCCTCTTACAATGCAAAGTGTGAAACCGAATAAAAGAACAATTATGTTGTGGACTTTGTAATATATACTTATGGTCCCTGTATGTGATTTATAATTATTTAGAAAAAAAATAAGTTTCTTCTCATCTCAGAATCTCTCTGTTATGAAACATATAAAACACCAAATACTCTTTAAATACATTGATATTACTTAATTCTGAATTAGTCCCAGAGTAGGCCTTTATACTTATTGCGAATAATAACTCATGAGCCAAATTTGTTTATTACTTTCACTAAATGAATATAATCACCACTGTCCCTGGCTCTATTTATCCTATTGTACAGGTCAACACCATGTGACTGAGGAACTCCACAAACCAATATGAAATATTTCCACAAGACTGTACTGTAGTTGGGCTTTCACTAACCCAAATATAACTCATAGATTACACTACAGTGTCTTTTTTTTTCTATCTCTTGCACACTGAATGCGTCGTCTGTTGCGAGGGTAGCCACCTCGCCACCACTAGATGGCGAAAGGCAACATCCCATTTTCACCAGTCGCGAAGCAAACCCTGCCCAATGGAGCTATTTTCCCGCCTCCCTCGCCTTCCTCTCGGTCCTCCCTTTCCATCCAAATTTGCAGTCAGCCCCGCCGCATCCTCAGGAAAACTCCTCCCGCTGCACCTGAAAGAAGGCGTCTATTGACAAACTTGGCTGAAAGAAGCGAGGCGAGTGCTAGGCGAGTAGATTTAGGATCTGGAGCTCGCAAGTCCTGTGTAAACCGTCCAGAGGAAGGAGGCGGGGTGTGTGGGGGGGAGAAGCACCCGGAGATACCAGAGGGAAGACTTGGCTTGTTGGTTCAATCAGCGAGCTGGGCGCATCGACTCGGCTCCCTTCCCGGTTCTTCCCCCCCCCCCACTCCGGTTCACACCCCCTTCGGCTCTAGGAGGGCTTGAGCTGGCATCGCTCTGCACTGCATGACAGCTCCAGGCTCCGAAGACGACGTAGCAGCCGGGAGTGGGAAGCCAAGCCCAGCTGAGGAAGATCTGAGGAAGGCTACGCGCCGGGGATCGGCGGGGGTGTGAGCCCAGAAGGCACCTTGTCCTGTCTGATTCCCAGGGCGCTGCCGCCTCCTCGTCTCCGATTGCCTTTCGCTCCTGTTATAACCCCACCCCTGACCTTATTCTCTGGCCGCCCAAGACTGAGCAGAAAGGCAGAAGCCCAGAGAGAAAATAGCACCGGGTCAAGGAGAAATACCTGCGCATCGCTTAGGCTGCAATTGATGGGAAATACACATTTCTTTCTCTAGGAAAGCTCGTTAGTCGCCCGCCCCCTTTTCTCTTTTTTTTTCTCCTCCCCCCCTTTTAAAGAAAAGAACCCGGTTGAAAGCAGAAAGGGGGAGAAAAGAGGGGTTCTTTTCTCCAAAAGAAAAGAGAGGGAGGGGGCAACGGAAAGGAATCGGAGAGAATTTCAGCAAGCGTTTCCCTCCCTTTGTTGAATGAGAAGGACGGCGCCGGATCACCATGAGCACCAGCAGTAAGTACGGCTCTCCCTTGATTTTGCGGGAAGGGGGAGTAGCAGCGGCTTCTTTTGCACTCCGCCTTGCGGGGACGAGGGGGGTCACAGCAGGATGGGCCAGGTTTAGGGGTTTTGAGAATTTTTTTTCCCCCGGTTTGGGGTTTGGGAATGAGAAAAGGTGGAATGTGATGTGGGATGGGTACACCTGCTGATCTTCAGCCCTAGTTCCCTCCCACAGCTAGAATTTTGACAACTCGATTTAAATGGAGGCTGGGGGGTGGGTGGTTGTGACATCTACAAACACCTAACTACTCTACGTTAAAATAGTAAATTCACGTGTCTTGAGGTTGTGCCCCCACTTGTGTCTCTAAGTAAAGATAGGTGTAATCTTTTCAGTGGCATCTCAGGGCAGAGTTCAGAGGAAGGGCGGGCAGGATTGGGAAATGAAACTATGACTATAGCTAGGTGCATCGATAGGTTCCCAGTTTCCCACTCTTTCATCAGACTGAAAGGTGTCTCTGAAGTGGACAATACTGATAGTGCCTATTGATTAGAATAAAAGAAATGGCAAGAAGATTAAGAAAAGTGCCACCTCTGAATTTGCAAAGGAGTAAAAAGAGGTTAAGAAAGGGAACTGTGACAGACCAGTTTAAAGATAGGAGCATTTCCGTTTCTATAGCATTGAATTTAGCAAATAAAGGACAAATCGGTCAGAAATGTTGGGGTTGATGTTAGCCTTGCTATTTCTCACGGTGTTTAATAGTATTTTCACTCATCTGTGAGGCAAATGAAGCCACCTTGTAGCCTAGCCTGACAGCTAGAGGAGAAATTTTTAGCAGTTTTTAAGATATTGAGATTTCAGATTTTCTAGGATTTGGGGGAAAGGAGTAAGTTGGTAGGTTTGCAGGGCTGGGTCAAAAACTCTTGCTTATAATCCTGGAGAGTTAAATGTCTCATCTAGATTAACCAATGGTCTTGACAATGATGTAGGTCTACATGTTCATGAGAAAACTCTTCATTTCCATCAGTGTCCTTGGGATTTGACTTGATATTGCAGTTAGCAAATATTTGGCAGGGGATTTCCCCCCAAAAGGGCATCAGCCAATTAATTTCAGTGTTCTTCTTCAGGTTCCTCCCTCTTTCTTTTTGCTGGGTTGGTCCTAGATTTCTTGGGACAAACAGGTAGTGCTAGTGCTGCTCCAAAGGAGACAGCCAAGGAAAATATTTCAGCCCAAAGATTGAGTGATTTTAGATTTCACATGTCCCCTTCTCCAGAAATAAATTTGTCCTGGTGTTTTCCTTATGAATCACAACTGAATTATGAGCTAGAAAGAATGCTCTGATAATAGGCATAGATAATAGGCCCTACTAATATATCCTGCTCCATCCAGTAGCTGCCTAATAACAAAAGCCTAGAGCTCACCTGCACCACCCATCAAGGTGTCTTACTCAAGACCGGGGTGTTTTCTGCTTGGGTGGCAGAAAAACAAGGCTGAACAGAATGGGAGAGCAGTCCTATCAAACACAACCAACAACTGGGTAATGCTGGTCCTTTTCTGCTGGTAATGATGTGGGATTAATGTTTCATAAATCTATTATTATTCCAGGAATGTTCTCCCTCCCTCTCAACTCCCTCTACAGTTGTATGCACTTTCTGCACTCTATTCAAAGTCTACTTCCACAGCACCATTCTGCAACTCAGGGCTTCCGATGTTGGGCCTGTGCTCCCAATTATACTAGCTACAGACAATGAGAATATCCAGCTATAGAGTGCTGAGTGGGAAGAAGCCATTTTACAAATATAATATACATTTGCCATGTTTATTACTATGATTTTAAGAATATGAAAAAAGCAGTGTGATGTTTTACCTATATCAAGATGTTCTTGCTTAGCCTGGGCCTATTTTTAATTTGACCCATGCTGGCTGAGTCAAAGTGGGCTCAGCCATGATCACCTGTCATGTCACATTTGTGTGCCTTTGCTTCCCCTCTGGACCATGATGTGATACTGGTCCAGTATCATTACAAAGCACTTTGTGCTCTTTTGCCATGTTGCAATGGATTATTTCTTATCATTTATGGAAGTCTGAAAAGCAAGAACTACTTTTTTCAAATTAATCCAAAATTGAAATCCCACAGAGTTACTAGCTTCAAAAGTAACCACAGATGTATTTTTGTTAATGTAATACGACTGCTTTCAGACCATAGAACCATGTACTATAATCCTAGGGCAGTACCAATCTGTCATTATCTTGGGTAGAAGGCAAGGGCTTCTATTGCAATCATTTTTATTCCAAGAAGGCCCAAATGAATGAAATCAACCAGTAGTTGGAGGGATTTACATACTGCTCTTACTGCAATAGAAACTAAAAAAGCTATTCTTTAATTAACCTTATTGGAGTGAATGACAACCTCTCATTTATATGGGAATAATGAAAGAGATATTGTTAAGAGAAATAAATCTGCCAGTTCCTATTATCCTCAACTATTGTAGATCATCCTGAAATTCTCTTTGCTTGATCTCCCTAGAGTAACCTTCTCCAACAGTGATATCTTTTAGAACCTGACCATATCTGAATGACACTAGATTGGAGAGGTTTGTCCTATATGAGACTATGGTGGCATTAATATATATAGCGACTTAGATCAGGGTTGATTTTGAATTATTACTTCACCACAAGCCATGATCATACCCTTTAGTATATTAAGATGCATAGTATCTCCTAGTGCAGAGGTCTCCAACCTTTGGGGCACCAGGGACCAGTTATGTGGAGAGAGGTTTTTCTGTGGACCAGAGGGGGTGTGGTTTTGTGTGCTGCCTGCATCCTGTGGATGGGGTTTTCCTTGTTTGTGTGGACTAGTTGCTGGCATGCCACAGCCTGATACTGGTCCACAGACCGGGGGTTGGGGACCCCTGTCCTAGAGGGTAATATCTAATCATTAGTACAAGTATTTAACTGCACAGTTTGAGAACACATACAAGAAAGTAGGTCCTATTTTCTTTGAAAAACATACTTCCAGGTAAACATGCTTAGGATAGCATTGTATGTCACACTGTGTTCTAGAGCGCAGGGCTAACTATTTTAATTCATCATCTTAACAATTCTTTATTATTTTATTATAGCTAATACAATTCCAAAAGGGGGTGTAATGGCTCAGTGGTTAAAGATGCTGAGCTTGTCAGCTGGAAAACTGACAGCCTAGGTTCAAGACCCCAGCACTGCGCAATGGGATGAGCTCCCGTTCCTTGTTCCAGTTCCTGTCCACTTAGCAGTTTGAAAGCATGCAGATGCGAGTAGATTAATAGGTACCACTTTGATGGGAAGGCAATAGCATTCTGTGTGCCTTTGGTATATAGCCATGCTGATACATCACCACAGGAAATGTCTTCTGGCAATGCTGGCTTCCTTGGTCAAATCTGGTGGTATATTACCAAGCTTACCTATTATCAAGTGTTAATATTGGAAGTCAACAATTGGTGTTAAATTTCTGATAGTAGCTTTGGTTGGATGGATGGTATTAAGATGTAAATATACTAAAACTTTAGTATCTCTGGAAATATATTAGGAATGTAATGATTAAAGAAATATTTGATCCTTTCTCCCATGCTAAATTAACTTTATGAGAGAATCAAACAGTAACAATTGGGAAAATGATGGCAATATGGTAAAATTGGGTGAAAATGGGATATTGTCTTTGTACCAATTGATAGATATGAGGATAAATTTTTAATATAAACTCTGCTAAGAGACAAATATCATCTATCAGATGTAACTTAGTGGTAATATTTGCAACTTCAACATTTGCTAACAACATTTTTTGGGAGCAGCAGCATTTTTAACTTCTAGGATAGCCAAGATACAAGAACAACTGGTTAAATCTTTTAAATCTAAAATCATACTATTAGTTTTTTTAGATATTTGTTAATATTTAAATCAATTTTATATGCAGATGTTAAATATGAGGAATTAGAGGTTCTTATACTGCCTAAATAATGGGAGAGTGTCTTAACTTCTGTAGTAAGACTATCGGTTCACCTTAAACTATGACTATTATAATAAAAATAATATTTAGAATTTATTGAACTCTATTACATCTGTATAAGGTGTCACAATGGCTCAATGATTAAGATGCTGGGCTTGTTGGCTGGAAAACTGACAGGCCAGGTTCAAGAACTGAGTGCGTGCAACAGGTGAGCTCCTGTTACCCCAGCTCCTGCTGACCTAGCAGCTCGAAAGCATGCAAATGCAAGTAGATAAATAGGTACCACTTCGGTAGGAAGGTGTTTCACTGGACACTGCGCTGCAGTGTGATGACATGCTGGCCAGATGGCCACAGGAACATCTTCAGATAGCATTGGCTCAACGGCCTAGGAACAGAGATGAGCATCGCCCCCTAAAGTCAGCTATAACAAGTGGAGTAAACCCCGCAGGGACTCTTTTATCTTTGCCTTATACTTATATAGAAAAGGATTGTCTAGGACAGTATTTTATTAGATATGTAATAAAAGACAATGCTTCTTTGAAACATGTGATTTTACCATAACTACAACGTTACTAAATTTTGGGAGAAAGCAATGGACTGTACAAAGGTGACTGTTTGACAGAAGCTAAAATTTGCAGAGGATAATGTTCTCTTGAATTACATATCTAGTACATGGAATTTGACAACTGGATAATGCAAATGGATTCTCTGTGCCCTTATAGCTAAAAGGCTCTGTCGTTTGCTGCATAGCTAACTTGTCTGAAGAAATGAGTTCTGGCTGGATTAAAGGAGACCAGCAGAAGCTTATTCTACAGGGAATTTTTTTCTTCTTAGGACAGTCTGTCTTCCACCCATATACAAAGAAATATGCAGTGCTATTGATCTGATTGCTCCTTCGAATCATTATTCTTGCTATTAATTTGCCACTAAATTGAGTGTACCAATAAGTTTCAGTGTCCAAAAACATCCCATGTATTCTAGGCTCAATGAGAAGATATTCTTCGGTCACCTAACAGTAATGCCAAGCATTCACA